CTATGGCAAGATCCACCGCGGTATTACGGCATGTTGCGATCCGAACGGGACCGAGCCATTGACCTGCAGTAGGCCCGCGCCCCCAACTGTAGGGCCTGTCTCTTATACACATCTAGATGTGTATAAGAGACCACACATGACTTTCACAACTTTCTCTAAGGATTCGGGCTCCTCTCAGCGAGCGCACTCCAACCCCATCTTCAAAAAAAAATAAAAAATTCCTGGGATGTTTTTTGGCTCGTCTGGTTTTGCCGGACGGACCCCCCCCCATCCGTCTGGCCCGGTCCGTCTGGGCCGGACGTCGGCCTAACCCAGCTCTTTTTTTTTTTTTTTTTTTTTCGGAAGGGGTTTTTTTTCTCTACTACAACCCTCCACACACCACGGACGGACCCTGTACAAATTATACCCGAGCTTCTTTAAAACTGTCGTGCGACTTTTATTGCCTTCTTTGAACTTGGTGCGCGCGTGACCTGCAGCCTTTTTGAACTTGGCGCAAGAGTGACCTGCAAGTATGATTTTTTTTTCCGCCTATTACGGAACTCGTTTTAGTTCATGGCGTAGTAGTTCGAACCATACACAAGCTTGGGAGAGGGGTTGCCTCCTGGTGACTTCAGGGGCCATGCCCCACTAGCAGCATTGAGTTTCCTCAACGCCCGGATCTGGACGTGTTTGTGGAGAGGTGCGGATGGAGACACTCGACGGGATTTTCTGCACATCTCCAGAAATACGTCAAGATTCGGTCGTCGAGGAAACTCGAACGCTGCTAGTGGGACTTGGCCCCAGGAGCGCTGCCAATCAACACGCGTAGAGGAAAGTCGGTGTTATGAGTTCGAAGAACAGGACAGAGGTGGCCTTCGCTGCACTACTCTCCACAAAAGACAAAATATATGGCGGTTTATATTTCCATGTTCTAGCGAAAAATTTATTCTCATTTTGCACATATGGAGAGTAGTGCAGCGAGGACCTGTGTATGGTTTTATCAATTTGATGTCGTGTTCGGAAGCTTGTGCAAGGTCATTGTTTCTCTTTTTTTCCTCTCGTCAAGTTGTCCTGGGCGGAGCTACTTTTTTGGTGTACCTTTCTCAGAGTGTTCGTGTGAAGTTTCGTGGACGAGTCTTATGTGATAATGTTTGTGTGAGTCAAGACTAAGTGAGCAAAGAAAAAAAAGAAAACAAATAGCACTATTCTTCGGCGAAAGGGGGGGATGGGGTAAGTAGTACAAGACGAGAAAAAAAAACTAAGTACTCAAAGAAAAAAAAGAAAACAAATAGCACTATTCTTCGGCGGTACAGGACGAGAAAAAAAAACTAAGTACTCAAAGAAAAAAAAGAAAACAAATAGCACTATTCTTCGGCGAAAGGGGGGGATGGGGAAAGTGAGTTCGCTCTTTCATCGTCCGTTATCATTTTTTTTTTTTTTCCTTTTTTCCTTCAAGTCAGATTTTTTTTTTTTCCTTTTTTTCGTTGAGTTTTTTGGACACTTCATTCTCTCGCCAAGAAGAACATCACGAAAGCACCTAAAGAAGACTTCTTTGACAAAGAAGTGATATTCGTCGAAGCATATAAGAAGACTAAACATTCAACGAACGCCACGGATAAAGAAAGCCATCCGCTACAAGAATCGTCAACGAATCTATAAAGCAACAATAACACTTCAAAAAAAATAAACACACTTCTTTGACGAAAGATATACTTAAAAAAATCTTCGGGGACAAAAATATGTGATTCTTTAACAATTTTTTTCAAATTTCGTTGTGAACTTCAGTGTACCATTCGCCGAAGATTTAACAACGAGTGTTGCATGTGGGTGTCTAGATGTAGTAGTGAAAGGGAAGACATGTACGACGATGGTGGACAGTGGCGCGGAAATGAACCTCATAAAAGAGGAGCATGCTTTGCACCTAGGGATGAAGATAGATCGTTTTGACAATGGGGTATTGATGGGGGCGAACAGTCGATCGCTGTTCATAGGGACCGCCTCATCGCTGATCCTGGAGATCGGGAAACTGAAAGTAAGGAGTTGTTTTTTCGTGATGCCTGATCTTGATCACCCTATTCTACTAGGTAGGTCGTTCCTAAGTCGAACAGAGACCGTCATACTCAAAAAGCATGACGAAACTATGTTCCTTGTCCTGTGCGATCCAGTATGCGGGAACTATGAGGTTATAACTTGCAAGAACACAGGGCCTAGGAGTATAAGGAACCGTCCCAACCCTGGTTCTTTCACGATTGAAGAATCGAAAAAGGAGAGGTTGAGATTGAAAGGCAGCAGGATTGAAGAGGAAAGAGGGCCAGAGGCACTGACCCTTAGCCTAGTGAATATAGGTGATGTATGGACATAGTGTCGACCTATGGGATGGTGGATCCAGAGGCTGTGGAGGCCTTGAGAGAAAAGGTGGTGGAACAGATGGGAGCAGGAGAAATAAAGTTGATATACCGGACACCAGGGAGGATAGGCGGAGTAATTCGAGCACAGCCCCAAAGCGCAACTCGACCTTTTTTAGGGGTGGGCTCAAGCAGAGGGCACAAAGGCTGTATAAAAGAGTATATCAGAAGTGTCGCCCTGTTCTCGTACTCGCTGCTGAAGAGCAAGGAGTTTACTACGAGCGGGAACGAGAATTGATATGGCAGATGCGAGGAAACGCAGAGAATGGGTCGTGCCGTATCACTCCTGAGACAGAGAAGGCGCTGATTAAAGGAGAGTCTGGCTTCCTTACAACGCAGGAAGAAAAGTTTATGGTGGAAACCATAAGAGGAAGGCACGCTGCGTATGCCTTCAGTGATGATGAGAGAGGTCGTCTGGACGTGGATATAATCCCGATGATTAGGATACACACCGTGCCTCACGAGCCATGGAACTTGCATGGTATCCTAACCCAGCTGATGAAGAGAAGGTAGTTAAATACCTTGATAGGAAAATCCGCACACATGTGGCAGACTACTCAAGTGGACCGTATGCATCCCCCTGGTTTTGCTTTGTCAAACCAAATGGGACTTTGAGGTGGGTACAGGATTTGCAGTGCTTGAACGCTGTACTTGTGAGAGACGCAGGTGGTCTCCCCAACGTCGATGCGCTTTCAGAGTCCTGCGCTGGGAGAGCCATAATATCTCTCATAGATTTATATTCGGGTTACGACCAATTTCCTGTATACCCATCTGACAGGCCAATGACGGCCATGCATACCCCTCGAGGGTTGATCCATATGAACGTCGCACCTCAAGGGTGGACGAATGCGGTTGCCATGGTCCAGAGGCATATGGTGAGGGCGATGCAGCCCATAAGTCCTCACATCACACAGCCTTATATTGACGATCTGGTTGAAAAGGGGCCTAAGGAGAAGGATGAGCAGGAGGTGATGCCGGGAATCAGGGGCTTTGTCTGAGACCATGTGCAAGACTTGTGCAAGGTCCTGGACCTTCTGAAGGAGCTTGACCTCACTGCCAGTGGGCCAAAGTCAAAGCACTTCATGAGTGGGGCCACTATCTTAGGATTTGTGTGCCACGAAAGGGGTCGTCGGCCAGATACTAAGAAGACTAACAAGATTCTCGAATGACCAACCCCGTTCGAGACTATCACTGCGGTAAGGAGCTTCCTGGGGAAATGAGGGTTTTGGAGGATCTTCATAAAGGGGTTTGCGGCGAAGACTAAGCAGCTACGGAAGCTGGTGCGTCAGGGCCAAGATTGGGAATGGGGAGATAGGCAAGAGTCAGTAATTGAAGGTCTGAAGAAAGAGTTTGAGGAAGGAGGTCTAGTACTGGGAGTACCAGATGATGCGACGGTGATGACCAGACCTTTCATTGTGGAAACGGACGCAGGGTCGACTGCTTTAAGAGGTGTGTTGATTCAAAGAGATCTCAATGGAGAAGAGCGACCGCTAAGGTTTGAAAGTAGGACGCTTAATACATCTGAGAGGAACTACTCTCAATTTAAGCGTGAAACCTTGTCAGTTTTTTACTGTTTAAGGATTTTCAGATACTACCTCTTTGGCAGCAGGTTTGTGTTGAGGGTGGACCCTACTACTCTAGCTGGGTCCCTCAAGAACTTCGCTCCTTCATATCCGACCATCGCCAGATGGCTAACGTACATCAGGATATTCGACTTCGAGTTGGAGCGAATTCCGAAGAACAAGAATAGAGCGGACGGGCTGAGTCGAGTCGACTGGGACAAGAACAACCAAGGACTGATCGAGGATACTCCACCAGTCAACGGGTTCCTGAACAGTGAGGAGGATGTGAGACTTCACATCAACTCCTGGTCATTGACCGTGGGTAACTATGTTACTCCTGGGCGACCTGTGTGGCTTGCGCCACCAGGGCACATACGACGACCAGACCTAGTCCTCAAACCCTATGTAGAAGAAGACTCTCGGGGAATGTCAGGCGTGGATTGGATGATGGAGTTGGCTTTAGCAGGCAAATACCAGCTACATGAGGACTTGCTCACGATTGACTATAGGGCGCTGCAGGTGGGCAAGCACGAGAAAGTGATAGGTAGGGTGTATCTGTTGGCAAATGCGCTGCTGCAGGAAGAGGCGGTCAGGAATACGGTGCTAGATCAGGAAGAGGTGGTAGAGCAGGAAGAGGGTGATAATGTGATTCACGAAAGAGAAGACGTCGATTTTGAAGAGGGAGAGATTAAGGAAGCGTTTCTAGCAGAGGAATATGAAGGAGTATACCTTGAACTCGGAATGCTTCTGTCATGTGAAATGAGGGAAAGGGACGTTTGCGGAAGAGTTCTGAAGATGAGGCCAAGCTTTCTAGTAAGGGATGGCCATTTGTTCATGAGAAGCAAAAGGAAGGCTCCCAGAAGAGTAGTCAGCGGCGTCGCTCGCCAGATTGACGTTATGGCAACACTACACGATGGTACGGGGGGTGGCCACAGAAGCACTGATACGACTCACCTCAAGATATACGAGCTGTACTATTGGAATGGCATGGGACAGATGATCGACGACAACTGTAAGTTATGCGTACCATGCCAGGAGCGATCCTCTATTAGACCTAGGGAGTCGCTGTCATACCAAATACCCTTAAAAGGGTATTGGGCGTGGTTTGTGCAAGTCGCGAAGTGCGACGTCGCCCACCTGACGGCGTGCGCGTGAGCGAAAGCATAGGTTCTTGTCAGGATGAGAGGAGCGCGTGGCGGCGTGGGGTATTAACGGTGAGGCGCAACTGTGCGCTGCCTAGGCGTGCGCGGCGTCACGGGTCAGTGGGACGCACGACGTTTGTTTGTATTTATACTAAATAATTGTTGTATTAATTTTCGCTCCGGCCTGCCGTTGACTCGGACGTGACGCCGGACTCGATGGTCGCCACGGCAGTCGAGAACCTTGAACGTACGGTGCTTTGGAGGGACGGTGGGTATTTCGACCCACGGCGACGGAGGAATATCAGCGGCAGGGCCCTTGGCGGGTGTACTGGCCGCCCCCCCCGCGGTTTGCTGTGAGAAGTTTAAGTGCAAGCGGGCCGTTGGGACCCGCGAGCTGGTGGACCATGCCCGGGGCGCTATGGCAAGATCC